TATAACTGAATTCAATCAGAAGTCTACGAAGTTTTATTTGAAGGAATCCATTAATTATGACCATCTCTTATCCTTTGATCAAATTTTTTTAATTCAAATATTTTGGCAACTACTTCGTCTACTAAATTGCAAATTATCATTGAAAATCTATTCCCAACACATAATTCATATGTTTTCTCTTTATGACATCATTGGAATTCATAATCGTTTTCTCTTCATCTAATAGCTTACAAGAAGAATTTCACCGTTGTGGTCTTTTCGGGCTTGGCCTAGCTTTGGACATGCTCCCAATAATGACTTGTGACAGTGATGATGCTCCAGATCTCTATATCTCAGATGAAGAAGCCCAATATGATCCCATCGTACCTGTCAGTGCTAATTCACATTGCAGAGAAAAAATGGCTGAACTTGTAGTTGAACTTGTTAATAACAATGTTTTATAAACTCAATATGTTCAGAAGACATAAATTATTTTAAGATAAGATTTTTCAAATGCATTCTGTAACCATGGTAATTAGACAATATTAAATTACTCTCTAAGAAAATACTACTTGAATAGTGAACATAAAAGGAGTATATATATACTGGCAGTCAATTATAATTATCTATGAAAATTGGTATATATACAGGGTGGCTGATATGTAATGCAACAAAGTAAAGCGCTTTATTTTTTTCATTATTTTTTTAATTCTATTGTTCAGATGCAAAAATGTCGAAAATAACATCAAATTTTAGAATCAGTTTAGATATTAAATTTGTTCTAATTGGCCGCCTTTGGCACGAATTGCGAATTTCAAACGGCCGACAAACAGCCATCACACGCTGCACGAAAGTGGCTCTGCGGTTCTTTGACTCATTCCTGGCGATTCGCCTTCTTGAGATGATCGACTCTTTGGTATTTTTTAGTGCGAATCTCACTCTCCAAAGTCCAACGAATTGTGAATCGGAGAATTTGATAACCATTGGGCCGTCGAAATGAACATCTTTTTTAAGCAGTTCTGTTGGAATGTCCATGGTCTGCGGCCGAAATGTTTGTCCATTTTCTTACCACTGCGGCGTGGATTCCGACCAATTCTTGCCTTCACTTTTCGGATCATTTCTAGTGCTGTTAGCGTTCACTTTTTGGACGCGACGCAACACTGCCAGTATCACGGTTAGGAAAACAAGAAACAAAAAACTAGAAAAAAGAAATAAAAAAAATATTTGCATTTAATTGCTGGAGGGCTCAAACGAATAGCCACTTGTGGTTTTCCAGCCAAATATAAAACAATCACACTATCACGCTTTAATTCGATCACGATTTATTTCTGAATGCAATAGATCAAAATGCTTTTGTAGGCTTGTAAACAACAAAATGAACTATCACTGGAATAAATCTGTCAGCTATCTGACGAATGGTTTAGAAATAATAGCAGTCTGAAGTTGGTTGTAAAACATATCAGCCACCCTGTATATATATTAGGGTGGTCCTTAATATGGACGTTTTCAAATTTTCTTACTCCCAAGGGCTCAAATGCTTCCAAATTGATGAAAAAAATCTCCTATAAGTTTTAGCTCTTAATATTGTCTTTTAGATAGTGCGCAATTCAATCAAAGTTTTGGATAGCATGGGGAAATTTTCAAAAATTTTAAAAATGTTTTTTAGATATAACTTAGCGAACAAAGGAATCACTGTTTGACGCTCTTCAAAATCAATTATAAAGAAAACCTGTGTTGTAGAGCGTCGAATCAATAAGAGATGTCACGAATTGTCGCTAAGTTATACATAAAAAACATTTTTAAAATTTTCGGATTTTTTTACATGCTATTTCCATACGAACCATTAATTGAAATGAGCACTATCTAAAAGTTAATATTAAGAGCTAAAACTTTTAGAGATTTTTTTTTATCAATTTGGAAGCATTTAAGCCTCTGGGAGCAATTAAATTCGAAAATATCCATATTAAGGACCACCCTAATATCTATATATATCTTTATAAAATAGTTTTGAAAAATTAAATCTTGAATTAAAAATTAAATATTCAATAAACTCAATTCCATTTCATGGAACTATTTCTGCATATAATGTATAAATTATATAAATAAAGAATATATATTTATTTCATTTAGTAAAATATTTGTTTTAATTCTTTTCAAATCACTACAGAAAAACTTAGTACATAAGCTTTCTTTCAGAGATCAGAAAGTAATTTCTTAGATTTACATTTATGATAATGTTATGATAAAATGATAAAATACTTTAGTACGTTATATATTGGTCATTCTGGTTGAAAACTTTTTGTCATTTTTTAGTAGCAACATAATTCCACGCCAACAAAAATTTTAGTCTTTGTTGATAAGACAACTATTAGAAGTGGTTTTTGACCCTTTTTATCCATTCATATAATATTTTCATTTCTCAGTCAGACAGGGATGCCTGGTATAAGTGATTATGAAACAATTTTCATATTTCATATATACATATCATTTATGCTTCCTTCATTATACATTAACAAGCCAATATCCTATCTGTTCAATATTTTTCGTCTACATTTTTTTTTTATTATGTTTCTTTTAAAGTTATTGTCATCACTGGTCATCTTAATATCAATTGGCAGTTCATTATATATTTTACTTGCATTACTTATATATTTTAATCTCTTCTTTTTTAAGATATTAATTCTAAAAAAAATCGGAGCGGCCGAAACAAGTAGTATTCTGATGGTGCCAATAAGTATGAAGAATGTGCAGAGCAGTGTTTCCCAACGTTGGGCGCACGCCCCACTGGGGGGCAATTTGAAAATTTTGGTGATTTGAATGTAATGTAGTATAGCATCGGTAAAACATTTAACAAAAAAATGCTTTTCAGATTTAACTACAATGTCCCGGTTTGACAGGGACAATCCTAGTATTCAACCTTGCTTCCTTGAATTTTTTCTCATTACTTTATAATAAAATTATAATACAACTACCCATTATAATTGAAAAATGATATATGCAATACACTGCTTATATAAAACGATACGTTATAAAAGAGAATGTTGCGGAAGGCAAAAACTCTTAGAGTTCAAATAGCCCTTCACTAAAAAAAATAAACTTCTATATTCAAATGTATGAAAATTACCAAAAAAATAGGTAAATCAAGTATCTGACTGCTTGGCACAAGTGCTTTAGGTTAGGTTAGGTTTAGTTCATAAGGTTTTTATCCAATTTGTATGGGGCGGGACCAGAAAAAGGTTGAGAATGACTGGTGTAGAGTGTGCCATTGTATCCCATACAAGGATGAAAAGCTTTTGGTTGAGTTACCAAACTTGTGTGAGGTCTCGTGTTATTTTTCGCCAAACGGGTTTGCCGTTGATGGTTATATTTTATTCTGTTGGCGTGCATCAGGTTGACCAGCTGATGATAAAGACTTCTGCTATAAGATAAAAAACCATTCCTGTATCAGCCTTGGAAATGGTTTGAGCCGGTTTATGTTTTTTTCAACTATAGTTTCTTGCATTTATAGACTTTATTTTAAATAACTTATTTTTGTTCCTTGTGTCTTCATCGAATCTTCAACCTGATGTAGTGCGTCTTGACATCAAAATTGCAGAATGCATTTCAACGAACAAGTTTAGGCATGTCGTACTGTCAACAATACCTTCTCCATACATAACTGTTCATTTCTACAATTGACAGCAATTTCTGAAACTAAAGGTCAAAAAATAAAATTATTTACCCAACAACCTGCTTGTTAGATACGTGTATGTACTGTGAATGAAAAAAAAAATTGAAGTGATACTTGGCAACGTCAGAAAAGAAATGGTAACGTTGTTTGCCAAGGCAAATTCTTGCAATTTCTCGTAACGTAATTTAAAATTTAGAAATTAGAGTTTTTTGAATTTTTCTGAAAATCTTGAAAAATTAGAATTTTGAAAACATTGTCTTTTTGAAAATTTTGGACATTTTTGAAAATACTGATATTTTCTAAAACTTCGAATTTTTTTGAATTCTTGGAACAGATTTTTAAATTTTTTTCTGGAAATTCTGATATTTGATCTATACTGTCGAGATTTTTTGATTTAAGTTAGAAAGTGTAGAATACAAAATGTATATAGCCGATCATATATCATGTTTCATTTATATGCGCAATTATTTCTTGGTTAATAATAATAGAACTTCCCGACATGTGTGAATTAATTAATAAGAAATTGAAATATTAGTTTGTGAGTGATTTAGAGTTACTGTAGGCTGTGTCATAATGAGAAAAACTTTTGCAGATTATTCAAATTTTGTACAATTATTTTTATTACACATTATTAACTTCCCGTAGGGTATGTTATAGTAATCGCAAAAAAATCGAAAATAATTTTTTTTATATATCTTTACGTTTCAAAGGTTTCTGATTATTTTGGCATACCTTAGAAAAAATGAATGTATGCGTGTGTTTTTTTGTATAGTGAAGGAAATGCCTTTATGCATTCCAGACTGGTGTTTTGTCTGGGTATGCGGACTCAATACCGCCCTGGTATAATACCGAGTAAAACCTCCGCTTTGCCCTTGCCTCTGGTCTCCATAGAAACCGCCGTTAGGCATTACTTCGTGGGGGGTGGAAGATCTAGAATGTTATAATTCTTAACTTGTTATAATGAATGTTATAATTCTTAAACTTATACTCATCTTTTAAATGGGAGAAGTCCCATTCGCCCTTTCTCTTTCCATGGAACGAAGCAGCTTCACTTGTCAGCATCACTTCAACAACATTACCTGGGGTAATGCTTCGTCTCAATGTCTCTTCCACATCGTCCCGTAGAGCACCAAATCGCGGGCACACGAAAAACACATGCTCAGCATCTTCGATTTCGCCCAAACAATATGAGCAATCCGGCGAGCTATCGTGCTTGAAGCGATGTAGGTAGGCTCGAAGACAGCCGTGTCCACATAGCATTTGCCTAGTATAATAATTTACTTCTACATGCATGCGACTTAGCCAGACTTTGATGTTTGGAACGAGACAATGCATCCATCTGTGCGACATCTTACAGTTGCCGCCATCGGTCAATGCTGTTCTGCCGTTCTTCTAATCTCAACTTTTCAGGACTCAGTTGTTGAAGTCTTCTATGATAAATTGTCCGTCTTTCCTCTGCTAAGACTAAGAGAGGCAGAGTTCTTGAAATGACGCACACTGCTTCCCCCGATATTGTGCTAAATGCACAAGCAATTCTTAAAGCACTCAAACGATGTATAGGTCCTGCCATTCTCCTAGATTTTAGAGTTTTGAGAGCATCAGCCCATATGGAGATACCATATGTCATCACTGAAGTAACAACTGACGATAGTAATATCCTTTTGGTTTGTTTAAGGCTACCAACATTAGGCATCAGGCAAGTAAGTCTCGTCCTAACTATTGACGCCTTAGCACTAACGTGTTCCACCTGTTGATTGAAATTCAACCGAGCATCAAGCATTACACCAAGGTAACAAATGTAAGGTTTTGACGTGATCTCTAGATTTCCTATCTTCAGCTTGATGGTCTCTATTGTTTTTCTACTTGTGATAAGAACAGCTTCACTTTTTTTGTTATGCTAATTGGAGGTTCATTGTTCCCATCCAGCAATTAATTTTTCTAAATGTTATATCAAATAGACTTACGATCTCATCAATTTGTTTGGTGACAACTACTATGGCAACATCGTTTACATATGCTACTAGTTTCAACCATTCTGGAATCTCAAGTCTCAAAAGGCCATCATACAAAATATTCATATATAGAATTGAATTATGTCAATAAAGTAGCTTGCGACTATTTTGCAGAGGTATACTGGCACGTTCTTGTCACGGAGTGCATTCATAATGCAATTCCAGTTTGCAGAATTGAAAGCATTTTTTATATCCAATGTAGCTACAAGACAGCACTTCTTCCTACCCCTCTTCCATCTGGTTCCAGCAATTGCTTCCTCGGCTACCCGTTTATAGCATCGATAGTTGATCGCCCTTTGCGAAAACCATACTGATTGTCTAGGATTGCTATGGTTGGGTCAACTACTGCATCTATTCTTTGGTAAATTATTCTTTCAACCGCTGTATCCAGCATGCATATCAGACGGTACGATAATGGTTTATCTGGTGTTTTTTTCTTCTTTGGGAAGAAGCACTAATCTTTGCTGTTTCCATTTTCGTGGAAAAACCCCTTCTTTCAGACATGTATTATAGGCACTAAGAAACATTGTCGGAGATGTCATAACTGATGTTTTTAAGGCAATATTAGGAACTCCATCTAATCCCGGTGCATTACTATTTCCAATCCGATGACAAGCTTCCATCAGTTCTTGCAGTGTTGTAAGTGGAATATTATTCAGTTCTACATGTGTTAGCTGGTAGTTTAAATTAGGTTGTCGTGGGAACAAAGTAGTTACTATTTTATTCAATAGTCGTGGGCAAGTTGGTGAAGGTATTGGCTGGCTTTTGAGGCGAGACATTACAATCTAATAAGGCCTTCTCCATGGGTTTTCTTCGACTTTATCCAAAGTTCTTTCCAGCACCTAACTTTGCTATTTTTGATAACTTTATTTAGTTGCCGACGTGCTTGTTTGTATTCCACTACCAGTTGTGCAGAATTTGTGAGACTATATCCTCGCTGAGAGATCCTTCTTTTCTTTTGGCACTCTTTACGAAGAGAACTGATTTCTTCAGTCCACCAGTGCACATATTGTCTTTGATTCTTGCCATGCTTACGAGTCATACTGATATCACAGGCTTCGGTTATTCTCTCCACCAGCTCTCTAGTATGCTCATCTGCGTATTCTGAAATTATAGGTTTGCAATTTAAGGCAATTCTCAATGCGCTTTCATCAAAAGATTTTATTTTCCACCCAATGGCTTTAGATATCTTCACATGTCTTCTAATGTTTCTATTCGTTGATATTTCCCAGGTGATTGCACTGTGGTCACTAGTGTAGATATCTAGTACCTCCCAATCGCAATTTTCTCTGACGAGGCTATTGCTAACAAAAGTAAGGTCTATTATTGAGCTTGCGCCGCCCTTGACAAAGGTTGGCTTATCACCGCTATTTAGTAAAACAACATCAAGTGCATTAAAGGCCTCTAAAAGTGCTTTACCTCTTGCATTAGTCTTCCTACTTTCCCAGTCTACCGCCATGCGTTAAAATCACCGGCTATCGCTACGGCGTGGTGTCGTTTTACATCCCCTACTAGACGATCTAAGAAATCAACAAAATGCGGCAAAGAAAGACTAGGTGGAGCATAACAGCTGTATAAATGTATGCCATCAAATGATGCTGCTACAAATCCAGCGTTGCTATTGTTAACAGCATTCTGGAAACAAAATTTGCCACAGGACCAAATAACAGCTTTGGTGGTACTGTCCGTTTCGCATGGCCAATCAGTTGGTTGTTTGTAAGGTTCTTACAAGAGGGTAATATCAATTTTCAAATCTCTTACCATTCTCTTAGATTCATGTTTAGCTGCAATATCTTCATGCTTCTGCGTTCATTATACTCCAGAGTTTCCATTTTCAGCGCATAGTGCACATTTTGCTACATTTATACAGTTGGCTATTTTGTGACCTTCTAGTCCACATCTAATGCATAGATTGGTCCGATTCACTTCGCTCTTGCACTGTGATCCATAATGTCCGAATAGCCAGCATTTAAAACACCGGATTCCGATTCGAATTCACATCACAGACCATCAGCAACGGAACCAACGAAAAAGACTTCAAAGAAGAAAGTTACTTTTAACAGATGACGTAAAATTAACTTTTTTTTGACAGATAGCCGTCAAATGTTTATTTTGGGGGGAGTACTATGGCGTCCCCTGATATCTAGCCATAATTAATAAAACAAAAATTATCCAAGTCACCACAATCATCTTTTGTTTATACGTCGTAAAATATTGTTTTATCTCTGAAGTTTACGTGTTCTCTTTTTCTGATCAAATCTGTGTGTATGTGTGTGTGCGTGTGTGTATGTGTGTGCGGATACAAAATTTCGGGTACGATTTCGGGAACACGGATTAACAGATTTGAATAATTCAAAAAACATTCGATTCGTACTGATAAGGAGACTTGCTGATTAGTTTTTGGCGGAGGCAGGTCTAACCGTTCCAAAGATACGGGGCAAAAAGTGCCAAAAATGGTAACACAGTTTTTAAAAGCGTCCGATTTTAAAAATTCAAAACACATTTTACTTGTATTGATAAATAGCTGATTGACTTTTTGGAAAGGCAAGTCTAACGGTTATGGACACTCATTATTTTTTCTTTGAAATGTAATTTGGGGGTAAAAATGTTCACTAGACATATGCACATCAAATTATCAGATATTTTATAGAGATTTTAATAATGTGTATACATTTTGTGTCAATTTTTTTGGGTTCCGTACCAAGACTTTTAATTTTGTAGTTTACGTATATGGTTCAAACAAATGTCCTCGACATTTTCGACAGATGGAATACCCGATTTGGATTGAACAAACATTCGGTACTCGATGATCGCGAGGCGTTTTTGCAAAAAGCACATAATGCCGTTCCGCAGGTATGGAGCGCAAAAGGTGTGTTAAATATTTTATATCCATTTTTAGGAATGATTCTGATTTGAACCTTGTGCGAATAAAGACGTAAATTTGATATAGTAAATATGTGTTTCCTTTTCTAAGTGTTTGATATTTCCTAAACTTTTTACAGGGTGTAAAACTTGTCATACAGTTTTTGAGAGAACGGAGATTAATTAAAAAAACTTTTGCTTGTGTAGTCGGTGTGCAAAAAATGGTTTTACAAAAAATTTCGTTGTTTTGAAAATTTTCAAAAAACTAGTGGGGCGCATGGCATCGTGCCTTAAGGCAAATTGCTGGAACTTCCCGTACCAATAATGATTTTTTTTAAAAAGATTAATATTTTTGAAAAAAATTTACTCTGAAAAATTAGATTTTTGAGAAACTATAAATTTTTGACAAAAACTTTAAAAAAACTTTTTAAAGAAAAATTTATTATGAAATATTTTGGAAATTCTGAACTTTTTTTTAAATCTATCGTACTGCTTTAACTGCATAGAGACGAAATATCAAAGCGCGTAAGCGCCGCGTCCCCGTCTAACGGATAAACATTATAAATATACATTATAGATAAACTCTATAAATTATCTAATAATTTGTTGTGCATATGTCTAATGATCATTTTTGACCGCCAAATGGCATTTTTTTTTACTTTTTTTATTAGATCTCCGAAACCGCTAGACCTACCTTCATGAAAATTTGATCAGTTCTTCATCTTGTTAATACAAATAAAATGTTTTTTGAATTATTCAAATCGGACGCTCCGTTCTCTTAAAAACGGAGTTACTGAGTTTTGGCACTTTTTGCCCCATATCTTCGGAACGGCTAGACCTGCCTTCGCCAAAAACTAATCAGAACGTCTCCTTATCAATACGAATCGAATGTTTTTTGAATTATTCAAATATGGAGAAGTAAATTATTATAATACGCAAATGCTATCTGGGCACGGCTGTTTTCGAGCCTACCTACATCGCTTCAAGCACGATAGCTCGCCGGATTGCCCATATTGTTTGGGCGAAATCGAAGATGCTGAGCATGTGTTCTTCGTGTGCCCGCATTTGGTGCTCTACGGGACGATGTGGAAGAGACATTGAGACGAAGCATTACCCCAGGTAATGTTGTTGAAGTGATGCTGACAATAGAAGCTGCTTGGAACGCCATATACAATTTTGCGAGAGACTAATTGCCCTGCGCTCAATGGAAAGAGAAAGGACGAATGGGACTTCGCCCATTTAAAAGATGAGTATAAAATCAAGTGAAGAATTATAACATTCTAGATCCTCCCCCCACGAAGTAATGCCTAACGGCGGTTTCTGTGGGGACCAGAGGCAAGGGCAAAGCGGAGGTTTTAGTCGGTATTATACCAGGGCGGTATTGAGTCCGACATACCCAGACAGAACACCAGTCTGGGATGCAAAAAGGCATTTCCTTTGCTATACAAAAAAAAACATACACACACACACATACATCCGTTTTTTCTAAGGTATGCCAAAATGTTCAGAAGGTTTTGAAACGTAAAGATATATAAAAATTTTCATTTTCGATTTCTTTGCGATTACTAGAACTTGCCCTTCGGGAAGTTAAAAAAATTCGAAATTTAAAAAAAAAAATTAATGTTCAGAAAACTCAAATTTTCTGAAATTTTTCATCATTTTGAAAAAAATATCTTTTTAAAATAAATATAATTTTTTAACTCATATCAAAAAAGCTCTCTCTGATCTGTATCATTACAGTCCGGCCAATCATTACCAAAAACAAATGAGCACGATATCCAGTAAATATCTCTCAAAATCTTATATGGTTCAGTCTCGT